GCAGGTCCGTCGCTCGAAGCAGGTTCGTCGCTCGAAGCAGGTCCGTCGCTCGAAGCAGGTCCATCGCTCGCAGCAGGTCCGTCGCTCGCTCGTTAGATTTGCCGTTCTCCATATCTCGTCCCTTCAGTGCGTGCTGGATCTCCTGTTCCTCGCCACCACAGCCTGCTTTTGAATAAACCGTCCGAAACACACTGCATATCGCTCGTCTGATCAGTGCTCATGGTTTCCTTTTTCAGCGCTACCGTCCCCCCTTTAGGTCCATCGCTGCTGTTCCCGTCGCTCACTGCGCGCCCCTTCAGTGCGGTCATACCGGACACCCTTTTCGGCGCTACCGCGGCATGCCCGCCGCTGACCGTGCTTTACCTTCCTATGGCCCTCTTTCCTGTCTTCAGTCACAACCCGTTTCTCGGCGACTGACATATCTGTCGCCGCACCCCCCGCGGCCACCACAACCTTTCCCTACGTTTATTCCCCTCTCCCCCTTTCTCCTCCCCCCCTTATCCCCTTCCCCCCCCTTCCCCACTTCCCCTCTTCCCCCCCCCTTCCCCACTTCCCCCCTTCTTCCCCTCCCTCGGCTACCCCGGTCAGCTATGGGAGGCGAAGGTGATGCAGTCGGGTGCGGTCATCCCTGTTGGCGGGTATGTGCTTCCGCCGCCTGCGCCGCCGGCCGCTGAGGTGGATGTAGGCGCGGGGGAGGCGGAGGAGGGGCCGCTAGGGGGGGCGGAGGCGGAAGCAGCGGCGGAGGAGGCCGGAGGGGAGGAGGGTGGCGAGGGCGCGGGACACGGAGGGGGATTCGCGGGACATGATTTGAACATGCCTTATAGCGGGGATGGTGGAGAGGCGGAGGACGAGCAGGCCCTGTCGCTGGGAGCATCCCACGCATCGGTAAGGCCCCAGCTACCTGCATCCCACGCATCGGTAAGGCCCCAGCTACCTGCATCCCACGCATCGGTAAGGCCCCAGCTACCTGCATCCCACGCATCGGTAAGGCCCCAGCTACCTCCATCCCACGCATCGGTAAGGCCCCAGCTACCTCCATCCCACGCATCGGTAAGGCCCCAGCTACCTGCATCCCACGCATCGGTAAGGCCCCAGCTACCTGGTAAATACATCAACGCCTTGGTTGGTTGTTAATGCTTTGAATGGACGTTATTTAGGGCGGTTCTGTTTACACATACCCCTTCAAATCGTGTGAATTCGTTTTTGGTGCTTTGCTCCCTGTGCCATCACATCTAGCAGCATGCGCCCCCTCTCCCACACCTCTGCTGCGCCCCTCGTTTCACTCCTCTCATTCCCTCCCTGCTGTGCATGGCCCCTCCCTCCCTTGTTCTCGCGCGGCACCCCAGTATTCAAGCGGGCATGTCACATCCAGTCTAGATGGCCGCCCACTGCCCTTCATGGTATGCCACATGCACCACCCATGCATGCACCTGGCATCCATCCGCCTCGTACCATGTCATACATCACGCATCACACTACACGTTCAGCTGAGTGGTGCTGCACATGCCAACCCACGGATTTGTTCCCTGTCCCCCCTTCCTGTCCGCGCTAACAGCCGCGCCAGGAGGCGTGGGAGCAGAAGCCCTTCATGGTCGACATGAACGCCGGTCAGTGCCCCCCACTGGCCTCACTGCCCTGCCGCCCCGCCGCCTTGCTGCCCTGCTGCCCTGCTGCTGTGCTGCCCTGCTGCCCTTCTGCCCTGCTGCCCTGCTGCCCTGCTGCTGTGCTGCCCTGCTGCCCTGCTGCTGTGCTGCCCTGCTGCCCTTCTGCCCTGCTGCCCTGCTGCTGTGCTGCCCTGCTGCCCTTCTGCCCTGCTGCCCTGCTGCCCTGCTGCTGTGCTGCCCTGCTGCCCTGCTGTCGTGCTGCTGTGCTGTCGTGCTGTGCTGTGCTGTGCTGTGCTGTGCTGTGCTGTGCTGTGCTGTGCTGTGCTGTGCTGTGCTGTGCTGTGCTGTGCTGTGCTGTGCTGTGCTGTGCTGCTAGCCTATCGTCACGCCCCACATGCACGCACCGGCCCGCCTGTCCGTCCACTCACCGCGTCCACCAATTCTGCCCGCCTTGGAAACCCACCGCGCCGAACCTCCGCTGCTCTCTGTGTGACCGACTGCGTGTGTGCAGTGCCAGAGGAGGACACGTACGCTGATGCTGCTGCCTCGGACGAGGCCACTCTGGTACGCCGGGCCTGTATGTGTGCGTGCTGTTAGCGTGCATCCGTGCACGCTCTTGCAAATGGATCTGTGCATATGCGGGTGTGTGTTTGTTTGTGGAAGGAACACCACATTTGAATAACCAATCCCGTTGTGCACATGCATTTGCCCGCCTCCGCTCCCGGGGTGCATCCGCGCCCAGTGTGAGCTGGTGCAATGAGATCCGGCCGTGCTGTGTTTGAGGTGCCTCAATCGTAGCCCCTGGTATCTCCTGCACCGTGTGTGTGCGGGGTGCTGGGCGTGTGTGCTCCCAGGGTCTGCTGCCGGCAGAGCTGAAGCGCAAGCGAGCAGAGGAGGGGCCGGGCGGGTACGGGGAGAACGCGGGGATGGATGCAGACGAGGGTGACACGAGCAGACCCCGCCTCACCCCCGAGTACGCCTTCCCTCAGGCTGACGGAGCCAGTGACAGCATGCCACGTGGTGCCTCACAATGGGCCCACGACATGCTGAGTCAGCTAGAGCACAAGCATGGGGGGGGTGGAGGAGGAAGAGAGGGAGAGGAGGCGAGTGGGGAGAGGAGCAGATTGGATGGGGGAGTGGAGGGAGGGTCGGGTGGTGCAGGCGCAGCAGAAGGGCGGGATGGGTCGGGGAGGCGGGTGCAACAAGCGGCACGGGGAGCCGAGGGGCGGGAAGCACGTGGTAGACGGGGGGTTGGCAGGAGCGGCAGGGGCGGCTTGGGGGGGAGGCAGTGGGTGGTGGAGAGGCGGTGCATGCGGCAGGTGGATGGGCATGGCGACGAGGAGGATGGTGATGAGGCCGACGAGGTGAGTGAGAGCCTCTCTCTCTCCCTTTCCTGCCATGGCAGTCGAACTGGTAGCAGTGAGGTGCTGCATTTCTGCGTTTTTTCAGCCATGCCCCAACTCTCCTCGCCCCCATGTTCCGCCATGTGGTTGCTGTTGCAGGGAGAGGAGGAGGAAGAGGAGGAGGGGGGGGCGGCAGGGGAGGCAGAGGAGGAGGAAGAAGAGGAGGACTACAACGACCCGGCAGCCCGCACTGACACCGGTTCGTTTCTCTGATCCTTTCCCTTGGGCATTCGGTCATTCCACTGCCAGCTCATGGCTCATGTCGTTCCACTGCCAGCTCATGGCTCATGTCGTTACACTGCCAGCTCATGGCGTGGTCCTTATCACCACTTGTTGCCTGTCCATTGGCCACAGCTATGCCACACCTTGACACGTCACTCCACTGCAACCCACAGCAAGTGCTTGCGTCTTTCTGATTCGTCCTGGACCTTGCAACCTCTCCACACGTTTGTTCCATGTGTTGTGGGGTGTGCGTGCATGTGCTGTGTGCGGGGAGGGCAGCCAAGGAGGAGGAAGAGGAGGAGGAGCTGGGGCCAGCAGACGATGACGAGTCGCTGGGGGCGGAGGATGATGATGATGATGACGACGATGGGCGGGGGGTCATAGGGGCGGATGAGGAGGGGCAGGATGGCAACATCGTGCTTGCCACCTATGAGAAGGTGTGATGGGGAAGGGTGGTAGTGGGAAAGGTTGCGAGGGGTTGTGGAATGGTGGTTGTGGGGGTCATAGGGGCAGATGAGGAGGGGCAGGACGGCAACATTGTGCTCGCCACCTATGAAAAGGTTTGATAGGGGGAGGTGGTACTGGGAAAGGGGGGAGTCGGTGTTGGGGAAGGGGGAGAGGGGAGGAGGGGCAGGACGGCAACATCGTGCTCGCCTCTTATGGGGAAGATTGGGGAGGAGGGGGAGGGGAGGAGTGAGGGGAATGGGGTGTGGGAGGGTCAAAGGGGCTGAGGAGGGTGGGGAGGGGAGTGAGGGATGTGGGATCCCTGGCAGGTTTGTATAGATTCACGAGCTCCGACATTCACTGGCACTGCTGCTTCTGGTTGTTGCGCCTGCTTGTGTGTGGCTGTTTATTGATTGTGTTTGGCGTTGTTCCGCATGCCCCCTGTGTTCATGCAGGTGACGCGCCAGAAGAATCGATGGAAGTGTCTGTTGCGGCACGGAGTCACGAGCCTAAATGGTCGTGACATACTTTTCTTCAAAGCCAACGGCGAATTCGAGTTTTAACTGTTGGTAATTTCAACGCATGCACCATGCAAGAGTTGCTCAAGAGGACACCAAAGCCTAGGACTTTGTCCTTTCTTTGAATCAGCTATTGTTGTATCTGTTTAAGCCACAACGTATTAAGGCTCATGAATACTTACACTCGATGTCCCGTTACAAGCATATGCCTTCGAAAGTCGTGCCACATCCTTGACACGTCACTCCCCCCGATCTCTTCACTCCGCGCGTCAGATCCAGCGAACCCCCGCGAGAGCCGCCTGCCTTACATCAACCCTGCCCGCCTGGTCAACTTCCGTGCCCCTGTGTCCCCCCTACCCGCTCCTCCCGCTCCTCGTTCCGCCAGCTCGCTGCACACCAAAAACCTAAGCTTTTGTGTTAGTCGCTACCAACCGAACAGCAGGTTAGGTCTTAGATATTATATCGTACTTAGGGCAGTAGTGCGTGGCGAAACCCAGTTTTTGGGGGATCATGTGACGTGCGTCTCCCATGTGGTCGCAGTCAGACATCGTATCAGATTCGCATTCGAATTCAGATTCTCTCACTTAACGCGTTGAGAACCCCAGCTCGTGTCTTATTCTATTCGGCCGACTTCGCTTCGCAATTACCTAGACAGCACCGCCTGTCACGGCCACGAAAACCCTCGAATCTTTGTGAACTCAGAAAACAGCGAGCAGCCGTATCACCAGCGGAAGTAGTCTCGCGGTTAGGTCGACACCGACCAGAGCAGGCAAGGCTACGAGCGCGGCGATCGCAGCAGTCGCAGCGGAATGTCGCTGCCGTCGCAGTCGCACCTGTCGGGCAGCATGGAGCGCAAGCGCGTGGGGTCGGGGTCGTCGCTCGCGCCGTCCGCGGCGGCGGCGGCGCAGGCGCCGCTGGTGTGCCACGGGCACTCGCGGCCGATTGTGGAGATCGCGTACAGCCCGATCACCGACGACGGCTTCTTCCTCATCTCCGCCAGTAAAGGTGCGCGCGCCCCCCTGTCCGCCAGTAAAGGTCCGCTCGCCGCACTCCTCTCCCCCCGTCTTCCCTCTCCATCAGTAAAGGTCCGCGTGCCCCACCCCCCCTCCCTCTCTCTGCCAGTAATGGTTCGCGCGACCCCACCCCTCTCTGCCAGTACAGGTCCCCCCCCCCCTCCTCTCTCTCCGCCAGTAAAGGTCCGCGACCCCCCCCCCCCCCCGCCCCCCCTCCTCCCCCTCCTTCTCACCCAGTAATGTCCCGCGCGCCCTTCGCGCTGCACCCACTCCTCTCTCTCCGCGCGCGACGGCGAGTCCTCACATAACTCTTTCCTCCTCGCCGGTTCTCCCGCGCGCTCAAACGGCAAGCCCTCACACGCCATTTCCCCTTCCCCGCTCACCACCATCCCCCGCGTTCGCGCAGACGGCAAGCCGATGATCCGCAACGGCGAGACGGGCGACTGGATCGGCACGTTCGAGGGGCACAAGGGCGCCGTGTGGGGCGCTTGCCTCGACCGCCCCGCGCTGCTCGCCGCCACCGCCTCCGCCGACTTCACCGCGTACGATGCGGGGGATCCAGGGGGGAAGGGGAGGGGGGGCTGGGAGGGGGCGTTGGGGCGTGGGATGGGGGATTGGGAGGATAGGGCGCTGGTCGCCGCCACCGCTTCCGCCAACTTCACCGCGTAGGGGGGAACTAAGGGGAAGAGGGAGATGGGGCGGGCATTGGGGAGCGGAAGCGATGCTTTGGGCTGATTGGCTGGGCGGGCAGCAGCGAGAGTGGTACAGAGTGGTAGGGACTACTGGGACACGGCTACGCACGTACGGAGCAGGATTTCCTCCTCATCCCCCCAACTCCTATCCCCTTCCTTGCAAGCCCGTCCCCGCTATTACGTGCCTCGTTCTTACACCTCATCCCACTCCTCTCCCCATTCCTCTTCCCCCCACCTCATGTGCGCTTCGCCTCCGCTCTGCCGTCCCCAACCCCCACATGCGCGCATCTCCACGTCTTCCTCCTCTCTCCCGCCCCCCCACCAGGCGCATCTGGGACGCGTTGACGGGCGACGAGAAGCACAAGTTGGAGCACAAGCACATCGTGCGCACCGTCGACTTCTCAAAGGTCCGATCCCCTCTTCTCTGTGAGTTTTTGAGAATTATCAAAAACTCCCTACAAGCACATCGTGCGCACCTTCGACTTCTCAAAGGTCCAATCCCCTCTCCTCTGTGAGTGCGCTTGGTGCCGCTGCCATGCCATTTCATTCTGCTCGTCTGAGTCGGCTCAGAGCACAAGCACATGGTGCGCACCGTGCACTTGTCCCAGGTCAGCTTGCTGCTGCTCTCTCACATGCCATGCCATGACCATGACATTCCGGGCCTAGCGGTCGTCACACAGAGTCACACCATCTGGGCCACTTGCAGCAGTGCCCTGGGGTTGCAATGCAGAGAGCAGCAAATGATCGTCCTGGTTCCGTAGGCCACACGCCCTTATGACGCACGTTTTTCCCACTTTCGCTCCACCCCTCCCCGTTCCCTCCCCTTACCATTCCCGTCTCCCCTCCTTCACTCTGCGTGCATCGTGTGCGCCTATCAGGACTCACGTCAGCTGTTGACGGGCGGGGCAGAGGACGTGGTGCGAGTGTTCAACCTGGCTCGCCCCGACGCCGGCCCCACGCTGTCGCTGGAGGGCATGGCGGGGCCCGTGCGCTGCGAGGGTGCACAGACGCCTTGAAACGCACAACTGACGCACGCTTTTCACCACGCTTGCTCCATCTTTCCCGCTTCCATCCCCTTTCTACTCTCCTGCCCCCATACCTTGATCCCGGCGCTGATGTTGGTCATCGCAGGACTCCCGACAGCTATTAACGGGCGGAGCAGAGAAGGTGGTGCGAGTGTTTGACTTGGCTCGCCCCGACGCCGGCCCCACACTGTCACTGGAGGGTATGGCGGGGCCTGTGCGCTGCGCCAGGTGGCACAACGACGACCGCTGGATCCTCGTCACCTGCAATGACGTGGCGGGCGTCAAGTGGGTTCAGGAGGGGGTTGAACCTCAGGGGATGGGCTGGGTTGGGTTGGGTTGGGTTGGGTTGGGTTGGGTTGGGTTGAGCGCCTAGGGATGGTGGAGCTCTGTGTGTGTCCAACATCCAAGTGTGACTTTTCGCCTGCTGCTCTCCGTCTCTCTGCTTCACTCCCACCATGCCTCTCACCACCATCCGCTCCCCACTCTCACTCTCCCTCCTCCCTCTCCCCAACCCCCCCCCCCCCCCCTCCCCCCTTTCAGGGTGTTTGATGCGCGCAGCAAAGACGTGGTGGGCGTGATGGCAACGGACGGCGCGTGTCTCAGCATGGACATCTCACCTGCTGCTACCGGTGGTGGTGGGGCGGGGGGCAGCGCATTCATCACCACGGCTGATGGCTCCACTGTCAAGATCTTCGATGCGCGCTCGTACGCACCAACCTTAATGCGCCATTGCTTTCGTGCATTACTCGTCTCATGCCGTCATGCATCCATGTCACCATTCCGCCGTCCTGCCCTCATCACCACGGCGGATGGCTCCACGGTCAAGATCTTCGACGCACCCTCGTACGACCCCTTCATCCTCAGGGAGGCTGCTTCGTTATTATTCTTCAAACCCTCTAGTTCTCCGTCCAAGATTCTTTCTTTCGAAGTGGCTCTACTGTCAAGAGCCTGACGCCCATGCAGGCGAATCCCTTATTCCCCAAGGAGGCGGCCCCATTGTTTTCTTATGCTCTCTCATTCGTTTCCCATCCGCCTCCCCTCCACCCCTCCGTGTTTTGCTGCTCCTGTAGCTGTCGCTTAACGTGCCTCCATGCCTCCATGCTACCATGCCATCTCATTTTACCATCCCACCATGCATCCATGCCACCACGTGCTGCAGGCTTCAAGAGGTCAAGTCACATCGATTGCCACATCAGGCTGAGTCAGCATCCTATATCCCGTCAACCAATCGGTGAGTGCCATGTTGTTTCCACCCCCGTGCTGTGCTGTGCAATGCGGTGCTATGCTGTGCAATGCGGTGCTATGCTTTGCAGTGCGGTCTTGTGATGCATCAGACTGTTGCTATGCCCCACCCGCCCAGCGCATGCAGACTTTCTTGCAGCTAGCCGATAATCCAAAAGTATCGATGCTCTCTTGCTCTCCCGCTTGCTGCTCTCGCCGGTCCTTGTTGACACATCCTTGTTGACACATCCTTGTTCCACTTGTAGTCGATTCAAACTGTTTCTTTGTGCATGCATGATGCTTTCTGCGGTGCTTACCCTTATCTCCCCAATACTCCTTCCGCCATGTTGTAAACCTGTTTCATGGTCCTTCTCGCCACTGCCTTGAATATATCATGCCATTCCCCTCATCTCGCCAACACCTGCATCTGCTCCATCTGCCCTGTGTGTGTGTGTGCGTGCATGGCAGGTTTGTGGCGGGCGGTGAGGATCTGTGGGTGCGGGTATTCGACTATGAGACGGGCCAGCAGCTAGGTACGGGGTGCCATGTGCCATGTGCCATGCCATTCCATCCACCATCCCATATTATCCACCATGCATACCATGCCCTCTCTTCCCCCGGAGTGCCACAGGGGCCACCACGCCAATGCACTGCATCTGCTTAATCAAGTCAACTCAAACCGTCCTTCCTCTCTTCCTTCAGCTTCTTTCTCCCCGCTTTGCTGCAAATGCGATTCAAAACTTCCTTCCTCCCCATCCCCCTCCTTCCCCCCCATCAGAGTGTCACAAGGGCCATCACGGCCCAGTGCACTGCATTCGCTTTGCCCCCGATGCACTCTCCTACGCATCAGGCTCAGAAGACGGCACCATCCGCATCTGGAAGCTTGCCCCCGCTACTGCTGCTGAAGGTGCTGCTGCTGGTGCTGCTGGTAGTGCTGCTGATGGCGCTGCTAGTGGTGCTGATGCTGCTGGTGCTGGTGGGAAAGGGGAGGGTGGAGAGTGCAATGGAGTGAGTGGGGTGGTGAGGGTGGGGGCAACGGAGGAGGTGATAAAGAAGGTAGAAGGGTTCCATATAGCGGGCTCGTGACCTCCGCGATAGTCCCTAAAGTGGTCCTTGTTAGGTGCATGCATAGAGAATTTTGCATTTCTGAAATAATATTGTTTTTTTTTTGCGCTGCGAACAGATAACATTTGCGTAAGTGACAGCCATTCTCATAACAGTTGTTAATTCGCGTGGGGGCTTGTGCTTGGGGGGCGTATACACCTGTTCTCCGATATTTCCACACCCTGAACTTTGATTCTTCCCAGACACCCTACATGGTTGAAGGTTTGATGAGACGGACGCCCTGATATTCCGGGTCTATCAGGAAACAACCACCAGGTCAAGACCTTTCGAAACTCGAACTTTGTAGTTCGAGTGAGCGGGGAAAATTCCAGTGCCAGATTGTTCCTGCGTTAAGCTCGCATTGAGATTGTGTTACATTAACCCTGAAAATTCTTCGAGCGCTGCGAGCTACCTTCGAAATCGGTTTTTCGAGGGTAGGTACCCCAGGGCGTTGAGATAAAGGGTACGGAATCTATCGCAGTTTCGGTGTAGAAGGCGCGAATTTGTTCTGTATGCGCAATTGACCATCCGCGCAACGCCCCACCCTAGCCCTCTCATATCGACCATCCTCGCACTTCGCGCCAGCCGATGCATCGCGCTGCGCGTCTGCCGCTTTCCCGCGCAACGACTGCGCGCGTCGTCGCATCGCGCGTGTCCGCAAGGCTGCATTGCTGTCGCCTACTCTGCCACGTCACGACGCTCCTTTCAGCGCCATTCCCGGCGGCAAAGGCTGTCGCAGTCGCAGCCACGCATTCTTGCGGATCCGCGTTTGCGCCCTCCCCGCTCCGCGCATCGCGCATTCCACGCTTGCCGCTCCGACCATTCTCCTCGATCCCCTCCGAAACATCTGGATTTCAAGCCACGTCATCCAAGTACCCGGCTGCCACGTCAGCCTCCACCTCCCTTCCCTCCCCACACCAACCATCCGCGCCCCTTCCGCCCATGGCCGCGTCTCCGCTGCCCTCCTCCGCTCCGCCGCCCGAAACCGCCGCTCCCGCCGCGTCCTCCCCCAACTCTCCCCCTCCCCCACCCCCTACTCCCCGCGCGCCACTCTCTCTCCGCCTGTGGCGGGACGCGCGCAGCCAGCGCGTGGCGCAGGCGGCGGCGTATCACCCGTTCGTGCTGGCGCTGGGCGCGGGCACGCTGCCGCGGCGGCGCTTCGTGCGCTACTCGCTGCAGGACGCCTTCTTCCTCTCCGCCTTCGCTCACTCGTGAGTGCGCCCTGCCTGCGTCATTGGGTCTTTGAGTGGTCTGAGGCGTTGCTGCTTGCTGCGCGTCTCACTCGTTACCTTGTCCTCCCATGTCCGGCCCACATTGCCTTGACTGCATCGCATGCCACCGTATGGCGTGGCGTGGCATGGCATGGGTAGGTACGGCGCGGCAGCGTCACTACTGGATGGGGGTGAGGAGGACGGCACGGGGGGAGCGGGGGGAAAGGATGGGGCGGCGGAAGGGGAGGAGGAGTTGAGTGTGCGGGCGGTGCTGCAGCGACTGCAGAGGGAAGCGGATGGGGAGCTGCAGATGCATGCTGCTACTGTCAAGGTGGGTACACCGTTCGACCTTGCTCAGTGCTGTCGTGCTGTCATGCATGCTTGCAAATACCGATCCACCCATGCGCGCATACATGCACCCGCGCATGTTCCCCAAGAAACATCGCATCTCTTCAATCGCTCCTCACCGCACCGCACCGCACCACACCACACCCGCCACGTGTGGCAGGCATGGATCGAGGAGTCAAGCGACTCACAGGCTGCTGACGCCACTGCTGACGTCACGGCGGACAGTGCCCCCCTGCCTGCCACACTAGAGTACACGTCGTTCCTCTCGCACGTGGTGGCGGGGACGAGCGGTGTGTGGGACTCCCATGGGCTGGGGTCACGGGTCGAGCAGGACGAGAGCAGCGCAGGGCAACATGCGTGCGAGCAGGGGAGTCACCACAACCATGTGCCCCACAGCAGCAGCTGCAGCAGCAGCAGCGAATTGGTGGTCCTCTCACGGCCTGCTGACTGGATAGCTGAGAGCGATCGCTCATCCCCCGCAGCGCGGCGGTGGCACACGCTGTGTGTGCTGGCCGCCATGCTGCCCTGCATGCGCCTCTACGCTTCAATCGGACACACCATGGGCGGCGCTGCCTGGGGGCTGCACGCTGCAGCAGCAGGGGGAGTGGGTGGAGCGGAGGAGGGGGAAAGGGGAGGAGGGGGAAGCAACGAGGTGGGGGTGAAGGGCAGGGGGGGTGTGTCGGAGGAGTGGCGGTGGCACCCGTACGGCCAGTGGTTGCACACCTACTCGTGCCCAGGCTTTGAGGTGAGGCTGCACCGCTGTGATGCTCGTGTGCTGCCATGATGGACTCAGAATCTCTTTGAGAGTTGTCAAAAGTGACTCCATGCTGTGGGAGTGGGATATGCAATGGCACGGTGTCATGGAGTGCCACGCCACACCACTCCTCATTCCCTCCTTACTGCCTCTCCACCATGCCTGCGGTGCTGCAACCCCCTCCCCATGCTGCCCTGCCCGCTGCAGGCAGCAGCAGCGCTGTTGGAGTCGGCATTCGACCGCCTCTGGTCGCTGCACCTGCGCTCCCTGCACCCCTCGTGCGCGCCCTCATCCCCTATCGCACTGCAGCAGCAGCAGCACGTGGCAGAGCAGCACCTATCGCGGGTATACAGCAGGGCCATGCAGTTAGAGCTCTCCTTCTTCCACGCCCAGCTCGCTCCCTTCCCTGCCACACCACCGCCGCCGCTGCCGCCCCCCCACGCGTCCGACGCCCCACCCTCCCTCCCAGCATGGCGGGGCTTTTTCCACCTTGCTTCCCAGGAAGGGGCGAGGGCAGGCAGGGAGGCGTCAGGAGGAGGAGGGGAGGCGGGCGGTGAGGGGAAGGCAGCGGGCGTGGTGTTTGCAGTGGACTTTGACGGCACGTGCACCGTGGACGACTCCAGTGCCCTGCTCGCCCGCCTTGCCCTCGCCCACGCCGCTCCCGCCGGCAAGGGCATTTCTACCAACGATGATGCAGCTGCTGGTGGTGGTGGTGAGTGTGGTGGCAGCAGGCAGCAGGTATGGGACGACCTGGTGCAGCGGTATGTGCGGGACTACTCTGACTTCATGCACGCCCATCTGCCACCCACTCATGCTCACAGGGACAGCAGCAGTAGCAGCAACAGCAACAGCAGCAGAAGCAGCAAGCAGGGACGGGATGAAAGCAGGGAGAGCAGCCGCACAGCCGGCAGCACCCCCGCCCACCTCCCTCCCGGCCTCCTCCCCTTTCTCCACCGCCTCTCCTCCTTCGAGGCCGCGGCCAATCAGCGCGTGACAGGTGTCGCCGCCCTGCAGGGCATCCCCCGGGACGCCATGCTGGCAGCGGCCAGGGAGGCTGCTGACGTGGCGGAGGGGGAAGGGGTGGGGCAGGGCCGGGGGAGCTTCAGGTCTGGATGTGGGCGAGTGCTGCGGCGAGTGGAGGGGGAGGGTGGTGTGGTGCAGGTGGTATCTGTGAGCTGGTGTGGGGCGTATGTGGGGGAGGCTGTGAGGCATGCCATGCGGATGGCAGGGGGGAAGAGGGGTGAGGAGGGGACGCAAGAAGACAAGGCAGAAGGAAAGGAGGGGGAGACAGAGTGCGGAGAGAAGATGTGCAGTGGTGGGGGGCCGGAGGGAGGAGCAGGAGTGGGCAGCAGAGTGGTGGTGAGAGCGAATGAGATGGAGTTTGATGAGCGCGGTGTGTCCACAGGTGCTGTGAACTTCCAGGTGCAGGGAGCCATGGATAAGGATGTTATCTTCCATGCTCTCACCCACGACACACTGCCACACACCACCTCAAAGCACGGCAATGAGGCGGCACCCGCATCAGCATCAGAAGCAGCACCAGCGGCGGCAGCACCAGCATCAGCAGTACCAAGCTCAGGGATGGCAGCAGCACCATCACCATCCGACCCCCCCATGTCTCCTGCCCTTCCTCCCTCGCTGTTCATCGGAGACAGCACAACAGACCTGCTGCCGCTGCTGCGAGCACAGGTGGGCGTGGTGATGGCAGGTGGGGCATCCAGTCTAGAAAGGGTCATCCAGGCCTTAGGTGTCCACCGCCTGCCACTGGTGGCGCTGGCTCTGCTGCACATGCAGCAAGGGGCGGCGGGAGAGGCGAAAGTGAATGGGGAGGGGTGTGTGGATGCCCGCCCTGTGATGGAGGTGGCACCATGGACGCTGCTTGATGCGAGCTGCTGGGAGGAGCTTGAGGTGTTCCTCTTTGGCATTCATTTCACTGAAATTGATAGCGAGTGGTCTGGCAATGATGCCATTCATGGTTAGTAGTGTTATAGTGGAGTTTTCTTATTCATTATAGCACTTCAACATCAGGGATTGAGAGCTTTCAACACATTTATACACATGCAAAGCATCACAGTTTGGACAGGAGTTAGCAGAAGCATGAAAAACATCTGGTTGGAAGGGAACGGGGTAAGGGCAACAAATCGAAACAAACTGAATCAATGGGGAGTACGCATGCTGGTTGCCCCTGTGCCTGAGCTCGTGCCTGTGATGCTCGTGCCTGTTGGTACAGCTTTGCCGTTGCCTGCAGCAGTCCTTGCCCTTGTTGGCGCTGCTCTAGTCAGTTGCTGGTACAGCCTTGCAGCGGGATAACTTCTTCAAACTTCAAAAATTCACGTGACCATCTGTTCCGCGCTTGCATTATCCCCGCAATTCACGCCGGCTGAGTCGTCGTTATCTGCGCATGATGGCTCGTTCGACGGTGTGAGCAGCCAGCACGGTGGACGCAGCGGCCTTCCAGAAATCCTGGAACGCCATGTTGTGCTGCTGCCACCTGTTCTCGAGCTCCACGCGAGGGCCCCATTGCTTGAGCGACTGGCGCCACGACGATGTGCCGTTGACGGCGTGCTGCCACCCGCTCCTCGCCGCCACGTCCAGCGCGGGAACAACCGTCCCGCCGGCGAACTTGACGGCCTTGTCCCCCGCGTAGAAAGCAGCTGCGAGGAGAGAAAGGAAGAAAGAAGGTTACAGGCGCAGCAATGAGATTCAAGCGCAAGTGCAACTGTTGAAAAAGGAAGAAAAAAAAACAGAACAAGTCAAAGCGTCAATTCTGCTCTGCGTACCATCGCATGGCAATCTCGCGAAATCGCTGGCGGGGAGACCAATTCCGATGCCGATGAGAGTGACCCCAATGTTAAAGCCCACGCCGCACCCCGCACCCACGTATCCGACCACCTCTGGACCGAACCCCGGACCCCATCCCACGCCGCACCCCAAGCCGAGGCCGAATCCCCAGAAAGCGCCGACCGTAGGATGCACTGGGTTCCACCGCTTGTACTTCCGGTATAGATGGATAAGCGTCATGCAGATAGCAGAGGTGACCCAATTCCAATTTATTTTTATCAAGATACACGCACACCACAAAATACAGTTTTGACAGGTTGACTTGGTTCTTGGACACCAATAACTGGAGAGGGGACAGGAGCTGCTGCGCTCAGGTACTCTCAAGTAGGGCTCACACAATGCAGTAGACACAGGTGTGGTAGCGAAGTGCTTGGCATTGATGATGTGGTTGGGACCGGTGGTGCTGAGAGGCGAGGAAAGGAGAGGAGTTCCTCGGGCACGTCACATAGAGCAAGGAGAATCCGAGGGATAAGGGCAACGCTGGGAGAGAGGAGAGGGGTGAGGATGGGGATACAGGAGACGAAGCACCGACGCCGAGAGGTTTCTTGTCACGCTACTTGACGGAACGGGCTTGTTGGGATTATTTGTTCTGGGCAAGTTGGATATCAGGCTGCTTGATTGGCTCCAGGCAGGAAATTTCAAAAGAAGGGCAGATGAAAATTCACAGGGCTCTGGATGGTGGGTGAAATTCATCATTTTCCGTTTCGTCGTCAGTTGCAACTGTCGAGAACACGTCCGTCAGAGGCTCACGATTGTTCTTCACCTGCGAGTGTGACAGTATTGTGTGCTGCGCTGGCAGAACATTCCTGCTAGCTGACTCCGCAACGCACAAATGTAACCAATGAAATAGCGGTTTCTGCCTCATCCGATACCGAGTGGCTGCTGATAGGGCGGAGGACTATCCCTGTTGGACGACACCTCCAAAAGGTAACGTCACGTGCCAAGCTGTGCCACGAAGGCTGGTAGAATCTCCACGCTAAAAGGTCGAATCACACACGTCCTATTCACCCCGCACCTGGTTAAATTCATGAACAAGCCACTCTTGGAACACTTGTTGAACACTGGAATATTGGACTGTTTCTTATAGAATCCTAGATTGAATACCTTCACTTCTAGGTAGAACTCAAGTCAGAATGGTACTAATGGATTCTAGCATCTATGCGCCTGACAGGTTCTTTCCGATAGTGTGAGAATGATAGTCACTGTGCAGTGATTTAGTAGGCCGCAGTTGATTCCTCACCTCTGGGTGCATCCTCAGGAGAGCCCGAGGTTATCGTAGTGACAAAAGAAAATATTTAGCATCTACTTTAATAATTGGATTCACAAATCAAAACTACAAGGCCTAATTGCTCGTATGGCCACACATGGAAGTCTGTAGAAAAAGTGACGAGTAATCTAAAGCCTAGGCCAGCCACCAAATAGCACAGATGGCGGAGAGTAGGCACGCACGCAGGGCAGCGTGGTAGGTAGGAGCAAAGATAAGGGCTGTGGTCGTCAAGTGGTTTGTGAATGCAGGACATGGTGCAAGTGATGATGGGGATAGTCAAATGGCAACAGCAATCCATGGAAGTGCAGCATGATGCTGATGATGGGAGCAACCAAGAAATGTGATAGCAAATGGAGGTGCTTCTATAATGGGTGTTAATGCAGGTGCATGACATGCAAACCTGGAATGCGAAAGTTGGTCATGCCATACATGTGAAACCAACTTTCACATGGTGCAGGAATGGAGATGCAGCAACCATGGTGCAAGAGACACATGCATCACAGGCTGACAGACATGCAGACACATGGTACCAACCACTGACACGTAATGACATGGCATGACAGAAGCAGTGCAATGGCAGCGTCAGCCTGCGATGTTGGGAAATGGAGGTAAGGGGGAGAGGAGAGGAATCACGAAGGGCTGAAGAAGTATGTGGGCAATGGGCATACAAACAATTGCTGTCATTGCAATCCCTGCAAACGACATGCATTCCCCCCTCCCCAACCACCCCTTCCCTCCCTACTACCTTCCCCTCTCCCTGCTCTCCCCTTTCCCTTCTCCCTCCTCCCTCTTGTATCCCGTCATCGCACTCACCCTAACAACACATGCATGAAAGCGGGTCAGTCAGAGTCACTGGAGGAGCGAGAGCTGTTGGACCTGCCATGGCGTCATGCGATCAGTCACGAGGGCCATGGGGGAAGGGGCGGAGGGAGGATTGGGGAAGAGAGGCATGAGACGGGATCAGAGAGAGCTCAGGGGGGGGGATGGCATGGCATGGTGTGCTGTGCGCTGCCAGTCAGAGCACTGCCACGCCTTTTTCAGGGGGGGAGGGGGAAAGGCGGCGAGAAAGAATTATGTCCCATTGCATGAGCAAGAGGAATAGAATGGCACGTCGTAGGCCAAGAGGGAAGTAAATGCTTGCATGGCACGAGCTTGCCGCATGGCATGGCCATGGCATGCCCTGCTTGCGCTTCAAACCAACATTGCGGCACCTCAGGCGAACAGCACCTCCAATCGCTCCTCCCTGTGTATGCCCACCCGCCTCTTTTCCCCTAAAAACAACTCCCCCTAACTACCAGCGGGGTGCCCTGAGGGGATCAGGCGCCTGATTGAAGCGTGCTGGGCGAGGGACCCTGCAGAGAGGCCGGACTCACACGCACCGTCACTCCCTCTCTTCCTCTCCCCCACTCATTCTCGCTTCTCCTCCGTTATTCAGCTGCACTCCAGAGCTCTCACGGCTCACCTGCTGGGGCTGCTCTTGGCTGCCCGCTTGCGAGGAGGCGACCTCTGCACACCAGGATAAGGGGGCAGGGCAATGTTTGCAGTGGAAGGCGGGGAATGGATGAGAAGAGGAGCACGGAAAGCGGTACATTCAATCGCACGCAGTTGAGAAACCTCCATGCGTGTAGGCAGGCAGCACCAGTCTGTCAAGATTCCCAGCCAATCATGGCCCACACTGCACAGAACAGCCACATCTCGCCAGGATCAACCCGCTCCCCCCATCCGCCCTTCCCCGTGCAGTGCTGCAACACACCCACCCCAATCTCAAGCCCAGATGTGCCTCTCCTCCCCCCACCCTTCCCCCTTTCACTCACCCGGCGCCGGTCGCCGTCGGACGAGGAAGTGGCGGAGGAGGACGAGGGCGACTCTGACCGCGCCCTCTTGGGCGGAGGGGAGCGATCCGGCCTGCACGGGGGACACAAAGACACGGAGGGAGTCACGCGATTGAGGATAGAGGAGCGTAAGGCACAAGGACAGGAATGAGTGAAATGCTAGGCTGGAGGGAGAAGATGAGGGGAGGGACAGGGAGTGAGCAGACGAGAGAGCGGGAGAGTGGATGGGGAGTGAGGAGAGGGATGGGATGAGCTCAAACAAAAGCATCTGGAAAGAGGAAAGAGGTGGGGAGCATAGGAGTGGGAGGAAGAGGTGGGGAGCATAGGAGTGGGAGGAAAAGGTGGGGAGCAAGGAGGTGGAAGGAAGAGGTGGGGGAGCAGACCTGCGGGTGGGTGGTGGTGGTGGCAGGCGCTGGCGTCGAGAGGGCGGGGAGCGCGAGCGTGTGCGGGAGCGGGAGCGGCGGCGCATTGGGCCTGGGCTGGAGCGACGAGCCGGGGGCGAGCGGCGAGGGGGGGAGGGCCGACGCGCGGGGGAGGAGCGGCGGCGAGGGGGGGGCGACCTGGGATGGGGGAAGAGGGAGAAGAGGGGGAAGAGGGGGAAAGGGGAGGAGCAGATGAGGGAGTGACGTGGATGTGAGTGTGTGGTTGAGTGGGTGACAGTGCGCATGAATGGATAACGGGGAACAAGTGGAGAAGCGGAAAGGAGGTGCGGAAGTGGAAGCAAGAGGAGGAATTGGATGGCAGGAGGCATAGTAGGGGGAGAGGTTGGTGAGGCTTTGGAAATGGGGCGACGAGAATATAGCTCGTAAGTCAAGGTGGGTAAAGCGTGGAAGGTGGGTAAAGCGTGGAAGGTGGGTGAAGCGTGGAAGGTGGGTAAAGCGTGGAAGGTGGGTAAAGCGTGGAAGGTGGGTAAAGCGTGGAAGGTGGGTAAAGCGTGGAAGGTGGGTAAAGCGTGGAAGGTGGGTAAAGCGTGGAAGGTGGGTAAAGCGTGGAAGGTGGGTGAGCAATGTGAGGAGGTTGCGGAGAGGGTGGGATGGGCGGTGGCGCGGGAGGGTGGAAAAGGTGGGAGGGAGGGAAGGGTGAGAAGGGTGCGTGGGGTGGGGACGGTAGGGAAGGTGGGGAGTGTGGGGAGGGGGGGGGTGGGGAGGATGGGGAGAAGGGAGAGGGCGGTACCTGCGGCCGCGGAAGGGGATGGGGGAGCGGCGTCTGGGAGGGCTTCTCACGCGGCGAGGGGGAGAGGCACTGCGCTGCCTGCGAGGGGGGGAGCTGTTGGGCGGGGAGAGGCGGAAAGCGAGGGGCGCAACACAACCACGGGGAGCAGGAGATGCAGGGGACACACTGGGTGAGCCACGCATCAAACACCAAATAGTCCTGACAATGGCTTTGTTCCGTGCCTTTCCCTTCCACGCCCTTTCAAGTGAGCACATGCGCTCCCATGCCCTACCACGATTCACGCCCTCTCATTCCGCATGCTTCCTCTAACGCACTCCCATGCTCCCAACGCTGCCCGATCGAGACCCTTCACGTTTCGGCGCTCAGCAGCCAACCAAAGCGTCATTCCCCAAACCAACCCACTAAAAGGTTGCTATCCGCGCTGTCTCCCGTCCCCCGTCCGCCCTGACCTACCGCACGGGCGAGCGCCTCCTTCCCCCTCGGGGCGGGGACGGCGACCTTCCCCTTGCGCCGCCTGCTCTCCCGGGGGACCTCCGCCGCGGCGACACCCCCCTGCCTCCCCGCTCGCCCTCCCTGCCCCGCTCCGCCTCCGCCCCCCTGTCCCCTCTGTCCCTGTCGCTCGGCCTGTCGCGGTCCCGCACGTCCGCACGGCGGCGCGGGGGGGAGTCGACGGCGCGGCGAGGGGGGGGCGGGGGGAGCGGTTCTGGGCGGCGCACGGGCTTTGGCGCGAGCACGAACTGCGCGCTCACCACACTGCCGTCGATTTGCGCCTGTCGGGGATGCGCGGCGGAGAGGGGGAGGGGAGGGGGGGGGGGAGGGGGGGATGGAGGGGGAAGGAGGGGAAAGGGATGGGGAAAGAATCAGGATGGATATGGAAGGATGAAGGGGGATAGGTAGCAATGAGTGGGGTTGAAAAGGGATGAGGCATGGACTGGGACTCAGAGGGATCGGAAACATTCACGTGCATTGCGCTCACTCACCCCATCCATGTGCAGGCGCGCCTTCTCCGCATCGGCACGCTTCTTAAACTCCACGTACCCGTAGCCCTTGGGCAGATTCACCTGCGACGACGCAGACACAACGAGGAAGGAACGGCGGCACACAAGCGAGCGGGTGAGAAAGGAAAGGAGCAGAGACGGCAGCGAGACATGAGCAAAGGAACGCGTAAGGAAAAGGCAGAGAAGGAGGCGACAAGGATGGCGGAAGAAGGAGAGGGAGGGAAGGCAGCGGGGAGAAGGCGAGGGCGACTCACGACGCGGTCCATAGCAATCTCCACCTTGCTCAGCTCGCCGTACAGCCCTGCACGCGCGCGCGCGCGCACACACACACACACACAGGTCAGGGAGAGCCACGGCCGATGCGTGATAAGACGACACTACAGATTGTTGTTCTTTTTTTTTTTTTTTAAGAACGCGAAGCGTAAGGACATCCGCACGGCACGTGGCCGTGCGGTGCGGTGCGGTGCGGAGCTCACCGAATATTTCCCGCAGGTGGTCCTGGTTGACGTTGCGCGTGAGGCAGCCCACGTACAGCATCGTCGTCTCGGGCGTCGCTGACCGCTTCCTGCCGCCATGCGGATATCGGGTTGGAGATATGGGTGGGGGAACGGGTCGGGGATGAGTGCGAACGCACTAGCACATGGGGAGTGAAAGAGACGAGCACATGCGCACGACGAACAGATACTAAGTTACGAGGTATTAGGGCGTGACGACGTGTGCACGCGGCTATGCTAGCACACCTGTCATTGGGCGACGGGCTTCGCTTCTTCTTGCTCGACTCTGTCGTCGGCCTCGCACTGCACGACAGGGATACGCGCGCACGACACACGATCGCACACACTTGGTTCCAAATACCGTGACCCCCCAAAACCTAATCACTGAGATTCCTAAACGGGAAGTTACACTGAAGGAGAACGCTTCGCTAGACGATTCGAGATTGAGAGAGAGAAAATGAAGAGGCGATGTTCAACAATCTACGGTCACCAACAATCCTGGATTGAGAAACGGAACATAGACGAAAAGATGACCCGCGATCAACGCACGGACCCTTTCTTAGGCGGCGGGCTGCGGCTTCTGGACGAGGCTGAGTCGGAGCGAGAGGGCGACGCGGAGGAGCGCGAGCGAGACGAGCCGGAGTAGGAGGAGGAGGGCGACTTGGACTTCGAGTTGGACTTGGACTCCGACGACGACTGCTTCGCCATGGCTCCGATAGCCTGAAATACAACACGATCTACTTGTTTGGAGCAGCGAACTGCTCAGCCTAGCAACGCGATGCAGCTGCTGACAGCACCAGGCATTACCACCTAAGATACTATTGATTATCTAGTAATTGACGGCGTTGGTGAATGGTGGAAACTTACATGGAATGGAGGAAGCCAGTCGGTCCTGGCGATCTCGATGGGCTTCAGTTTAGACTGGGAGAAGGCCTTCTCGAATCCTCTACATGTGGTAGCCCCCGCCTTCAGAAAAACATTTCACCCAGTGCATACAAATGTACAGTTTTAGTCCTTATATTTCGTGGAGTAGAGACCAATATGGAACTAAATGGAGAGTAAGAACAGTTGGCTTAGGCAGACGACTAGAGAGACGGACACTCTCATGTGCATTAACGACTTTGTGGTCGTCAGTGCAGCAGACGCTGTTCATGCTGCGAGTTGACCGATTAAAAAAATGCACAACTACCCGTAACTGGAAACCACACAGGAACTTTGTGCCATTTTTAGAAAAGCAGGTCATACAGCGGCAAGGAGAGAAGCTAGTGTGCAAAGCTAGACGGAGTACTTATCCGAGGCTGACCTTGACCCTTTCTGGTCCGCCTGCACAGGGAAAGATAACGCGTCAGAGAACAGAAGGCAGTTGTGCTCCGAAATCTCTCATACAGCAGCAAAAGGAACAAGCTAAGGAGCAGCAGCGTTCTCATAGACAGCATGCCAAACTCACAAAAGAAGAGAACCCGATTTGCTCCGTCACGCCCAGAATCTCCTTCAGTTGCTTGCCAATGCTCGTCTGCACCCAGGATCAGCGGGAAAGATAATGTTGCCATAGATCTCAGAACAACCATCACATGCCAGGTTGAAAGACCACAGTGGAACCAAAGGTGCAGTGCAAGCATGGAAGCTCCAGTTGTACCTGAATGGATTCGCTGGCAGCGGATTTAGTCCAGAGCGCCACTCTGTCCTTGTTTGGTCGGATGCTCACCACGGCGCCACAGATGTCGTTGCCCTCGTCAATCTGCTCGCCTATCATCGCCAGCATCTGCATTGCAGGACATTCGGGGGTGGCACCAGGGCTGGTTGGTTGGACAAGGCAACTATTGTACAAAGCAAGAAGAGGAGGTCGTCACGCAGTAAGACTACTGGCACATGGCAAGGTGTCACTCTAATGCGTACGGGGCACACCCGAAATCGCCAAGTCATGTCCAGAGAGTCATCTTGAACTGCAAACAGGCAGGCAATGAGGCATGTCTCACCAAGTGCAGCCACATGTTATCGAGGTACTCCTTGCTCCGCGAGCACGGGATGGTCCAGGAGCCGCCCTTCTCGCACTTGGGGTCCTCCCACTTGGGTTGAATGCCCTCCTTGAACAGATGCATGTCCGCCTTGTTCATCAGCTTGCTCGGCTGCACTATGTTGTTGTATAAACTGCCCAAGAAGAAAAAAACGGGACAAGGCAGAAACGAGGGTTAACGATGGGAGTCGTGAGGTGGAAAGGATCGCGAAACGGCGGAAGGTCCTGAGCACTCCCTTAGGAGCCAAACCACCAAAGACGAATCGCTTAAGAGAGATTGATTGACGACAGCTTAGAAGAGTCGAAACGCGAGCTTAGAAATCGAAACAGGAGTAAACGCTAGGTTGAGCCACGCACCACCAGAAGTCCTCAACGGTCCCGAACGTGAAGATCACGCGGAGCGAGCTACCCCACGAGCCGCCGCTTTTCCCGCGTTGCTGCGGGTTGTCGAACCAGAGCGTCCAGCGGTGCTCGAGCGGATGCTTCACCAGCGCTTCGCTCTCCGTCGCCGCTCCTCCTGTCTCCGTCTTCTCCGCCGCTGCTGTGTTCGTCTCTGTTTCGGTCTGATCTATAGCCGCCATGTCTTGAGCGACAAAACAAGAAGACGAACTGGAAATGGAAGTGCTAGAGGTTTATTTATCAAAACCCTATTCCTTCTAGGTCAGCGACACGCGGAGACTGAAGATATCAGTCCAATTTCACTGCAAGATATAACTGTGTTTTCAAATATACTTCAATGTTGATCTAATTCCAGCTAACATGCAGTGACTGGGATGAGAAGAGAAGCGACGAGATGTCCCGCTAAAATCACAGCGCAAGTGACGCTGTTGGAGGATGCACGGGAGGAGGGGGAGGTGGATAGAACACAGCGAGAGGACATGGCGGAGGTGTGGTGGCGAGGGAATCGAGAAGGATGCCGAACAGCATAACTACGTTATTACGGTACCCTTCATTTCTGTACAACGCTATGTACAACGAATGTGGTCAGTAAATTGAGTCCATCAGAAAGTATTCATCAGATGAGCCATTCACCAGTCACAGTACCACCCATCTATGTGTAAGAAGTTGCATGCCATAAAGTATACATCTGAATAAGTCATATTAACAAGCCTAAAACCTGTACAAAGCATGCCAACTCACCTTCTAATGTGATACAAGGCATGTCGCATGAACCTCTGGGGATCATGTGACAAAGCCCTAAACAGAACAATCAACACAGGGTCGCACCGAGCTGCCCTCTCAATCAACTCATCCTGTTCGTCTTCAGACATTGCCAGCACTCGTGGTTCTTCCTCCCTCCTCACTTCCTCTCCAGTTCCTCCCTGCCTCGTTTCTCCCAGCTCCATCCCTTCTCCCCCTCGTCCTCCATCCTGCTCTGATTTACTGGAGGGCAAGAGGCGGGAGACAGAAGCTTCCATTATGGTTGCTGTGAATGGCAGCTGATTGGCTGACTCAAGAGCACAGACGCTGCCATTGGAGGGCCCACCTGCTATTGGGCCTGAGATTGCTGCATTCCCACCCTTGGGTTCTGAGCCTGGTGCTGTTGCTGCTGCTGGTGCTGCTGATGGTGCTGTTGAAAAAGCTTGTGATTGTGCTGTATTGGGTATCAAAGTGGGGGAGGAGGAAGCGGCAGTTGAACAAGGAGGAGACGTGACGGACAGTGTTGCAGAGGTGGTTACTATGAACTGGATCATGGCAACAGCGATGTCGGCATCACTCATCCCCTGTACACCCTGCGTCTCCCAATTGTCACGCCGGCTGCTATCACCAGCAGCAAAAGCAGGTGCTGATGTGCCTGGACTCGTCCCCATTGACTGGACGGATGTGGCTGCTGCTGGTGATGGTGGTGCTGGTGGTGGTGCTGGTGGTGGTTGTGCTGTTGCAAGTGGTGCACTTGCTGCAGTTGGCATTATTGCTCGTGATTGTGCTGCGACTGTTGGTGCTACTGCTGCTGCTGAACTGCTTCCCACAGATGGTGAAAGCAGTCCCAACATTCCTGGGCGTGCCACTCCTGCAGCAGCCACAGCACCATTGGCTGCCTCTTGGCCTTGCACCATTTGCTGCGCTGAAGCCTGCATGCCTCCATTTCCTGCTGCTGGCACTGCTGCCGCCTCACTCTGCTGTGCCCAGCCACTGCTGCCACCGTTACGCTCACCCCACACTAAATCATCACCCATGCCCCCAACTCCTAGATCAGCCCAGCTACTCCTCCTACCAATGTTTCCATCACTTTCACTGCTACTGCTACTGCTGCTGCTAGAGCTGCCGCTACTGCCGATGCTGCTACCTACACTCGTTGCCTCACTGTCGCTACCACCAGCCTTCCCTCCAATGGCAGCACCAGCCGCTGTGGCCTTGCTACTTCCACCCCCAGAAGCGCCAGCTGACCCTGCTGCAGCAGTGGGTGAGGGCATGGTCTTGGCAGCGCGGGAGGGCAGGCAGTGCAGGGAGGCAGGTGTGCGCGACCAGATGACAAAGCCAAAGTCCGGGATCAGCGCCAGGTCCTTGGCCAGGCGCAGGGGCTCCTGGGAGGGGGAGGGACAGCAACAATTGAGTCATTGTTAGAAGATACAATGTTATTCACTTCCATGGACAGGCAGGAACATACATACAGAGTGGGACACAAGCAAAGGGGCAGATGCATCATCACAAACACAATGTGTGGAGCTGGGTGGGAGGTGGTGCAGTGAGGCACTGACCACAAAGTCCCCAGAGTTGGGGATCCACAGCGCCAGCTGCTCCACCTCACTGGCGCCCGCAAGGCCATTCGCCAGTGCTATCTTGGTGCGCACTGCATTCTGCCCGAGCAGAGGGGAAGAGTCGCAGGGAGGGTGGAGAAGTGTGACGCACAGGGAAAGTGATGTGAGAACTGCGAGAAGCATAACTCTACTTTCACAGCTGTACTGAAAGGAGCATGGGGAGGATTTGCGATGTCGGGCGCTCATAGCATTATCGCTTTTTTGGTTCAGTGTTCACCCAGGGAGCAATAGATAACAAGGCACGGGTTCCAGTAGTGGAGTAGTGAGAAGTGGGGTTGAGACTGACGAGGGAGGGCACACGGATGGTGATGGACTTCATGTTGCCGTTGGGCGCATCGTATGCCTCCAGGTCCCACTCTATGCTGCGAAACGTCTTGCCAAACACCAGCGTGCGCCAGTACAGCGCCACCTGCAAGGGGGGCCAATGGACGGACACACAGGGAGCAGGGAGAAGCAGGTGGGAACGGGGGCGACTCTGAATGCAACACAAGCGTCTCACAAAGCACTGAGGAAGCGCAAGAACAAGGCTGGAGTCCATATTGAAAAATCTCAATCGATGCGAAAAGCGATCGTGGAGAAGGGATGGAGCGTGAGAAGAAGGGTGGGCGCACCAGGCTAGCGCCTCCAAAGGAGCGCCAGAGGGCGTCCATCTGCGGCACCACTGCCACGGCCACTGGCGCCGCTGCGGCTGTCTTGGCTGCGAAGCCCAGCCCTGCCATTCCAAACACTGTGCCCGCTGCACTGGCTGCTGGGCCAAACAGCATCCACCTGATGGCATGTGCGGGAGGAGCATGGGTGGTCGGGGACAAGGCGAGAAGGCAACAGGAAGTGCAGGAATATGGTGCGGAGGGAGTGGTGATGCTGCTGTTTATAATTATCATACTCCCCTTGACAACCTATTTTATGACCCCTTCTCACATCCTACGACGGATTTTCCTGTCTGAAACCTCTCCCAGCCTCACCACACCCCACCCAACCCCACGCCACCCTCCCAGTCTCACCAGGGTTCCTTCTCCACAACGGCAGGCTGGGGCGCCACGGCCTTGAGCCACTCCTGCACGTTCACATACACAAACGCGCCTGCCGCAATGGGCAGCACCATCAGCACCACCATCGTCGCCACCTCCACCACTGTGCTCTGAGTCGCCGCCGCCACCACCCCCGCCCTCCACCGCCGCAGCCTCTCCTCCGTCCGCGCCTTGCTGCTCATCCCCTCCTCCCCTTCCGCCTCCGCCTTCCGCCCCCGTCTCCGCTTCCTGATCCTCCTCCCCCGCGCGTCCACCTTCCACCTTCCCCCGCCCGCCTCCTGCCGCCGCTGCTCTTCCCGCGCCAGAAGCGCGTCGCGCGCGTACTCGTTATAGAGTCGCGAGAGTTGCGGGTCCTGGCTGACTGCCTGGCGCAGCTCCCCCCACTCTTCCTCCAGAGTCGAGCCCTCGATCCCGCCGCGCGACACCTCCTGCAGCAACGCCATCTCCACCACTGCGCGCTCTAGAACCTTCCGCTCCGCGCCCTCTGCTTCCGCGCCCGAGGGGGAGGCGAACGGGGAAGGGGTGGACGAAGTAACGCTCGAGGCCGCGGGAGAAGCGAGGGGGGAAGATTGCTGACTGGCAGGATCGTCTTGGTACTGCTTACTTCGATTCTCGAAGGGTCGAGTCGACACCGGCTGACTCCCTGTGCCAGTGAACCCTAATGCCGTATTTTTGTCCCTGCTACTGTCGCTCCCGTCACTGTCACCCATGGCGCTACTGCTGCCGCTGCTGCCAAATCCGATGCTCCTCGTATTATTGTCCATATTCGCAACACTTATGCTCTTTAGCCTGCTCGCTGCACGCGCCATGGCCAGCTTCTCTCTTTTCCGACGCGCGCGCTCCTCTCGTCCGCCGACCCAATCCGCCGTTCCGCTTCCGCTATCCCCCCACTCTTCCCCCGGCTCCGCAGGTCTCCGCGAATTCGCAGCAGAAGCGACGCCTAGGCCGAGCAGCGACATCAGGTTCTCCAATGCCTGCAGCTGCTCCTGAAGCTGCGCTTGCAACTGCGCCTGCGCCTGCTGCAACTGAACCCCCACGCCTTCCCCGCCCGGTACGCCACCCACACTCCCCTCTTCCATCTCCCCAATCGCGTCCCTCACTACTGCTGCCGCATCACCAGCCGCTGTCGGGATCGTCGCTGCTTCGCTCGTCCCTGCCACTGCTGTTGCCGCCTCGGCAAGGCTCTTCTCCTCACTGCTGTTCGACGAGGAAGATGCGCCAGTATATGACTGCTCGCCGTTGATTAGGCCATCAGACGTAATGCCTGTAACCGCAGCAGATGGAATACCGACGTTTTTTACGCTCGCGAATTGCGGGGTTATTCGGTTCTCTGAACGATTCGCCAAGGCTCCGGCTCTGTACAATCCAGTTTCTCGCGGTGGTTCGGACTGATGCGCAGAGGACCAATCGTTCCCCAGCGATGATTGCGAAGATTGCGACGACTCGAGCGAGCTTTCGCGAATTGCGACCGACTGCGACGAGACATTGTTGTGAGGTATGTCAAGACGCTCAGTACCGCCGGCAGACGGCTGGTTGGCTTCTGGCATGGGAGCTCCATGGTGACTGATGTCCGAATGCTGAAATTCCGCTGCTCCAGACACATCTCCGGCTTGATGTTCTAATGTCGTCGCGTCAGGAGGCGGTGCGGGGTGGTCCGTCGTTGCGTCGCTCAATTCAGGACTCAACGGCTCTGCGATGTCGTCGAAATTCCTCGACCTGCATATTGACAGCCGCGACGGCCGATGCCTGATCGGCGAGACTCGCGCATCTACAGGTGTTGGAATCTGGGAAATGTGTAGCTTCTTGCTTGAGCCGTGGCGTGAATGTCTAACGGAGGCTCGAACGGCAACTCTGACACGGGATGTGGATAGGTATGAAAGAGGAGCGGACAATGCGAGTGTCGGAGCCATCAGGCAACAGAGATTGAAAGTTACTTATTGCTGAAGCTGTTCATCCCCACTGACATGGATTAGTAGATGACGACAATAAGTTAGTTCTAGAGCACACTACGTCGACATCGCATGAATGAACGGATGGGCTGATTGATGGATTAGTACGAGAACTGAGGCCTGTGGAGTGGAGCCATTGCACCACAGCATCTTGGCTCTGCTTGGAATCTGGACGAGAGTTGAAAGGATGGATTTGAGTCACTGTGTCTGACACAGAGCAAGCTGAGTGATGCAATCAGGAGAACACAAGTTGCATAAGGAAAAAAAAGTTTTTGTTACTGTCCCGAATTTGTTCGAAACGCGTACGCAGTGTTTTGTTCAGCTGGCGCTTCTTGAACGGGCCTTCAAGCTGAAGCAAGCTCAAAATAGTGCTGCTGGCGTCAGCTTGGGGGGTGTCGAATTTGCCTCGCGGGTCCTGATGACTTATAGGAACTTCAGCCAACTGCTGATGCGACCAGCTGGGCCGACGTCAGCAAGAAACAGAGTCACGAACGGAAACCGTGACGTTTTCATTCTGAGACACGACTTGAACTGATTGCCGTTTTTGTACCACCCATAACCTGCGCCAGAAAGCTCAGTTGACCAGCACTTCACGCGAATCGGACCGCCAGAGCCAGATCTGCGATGCCACGTCAGACCAGCCTGGCGACTTGACGTGGGTTTGGGATGCTGGCATTGGGATGGTCGTTAAGGCTACCGGACCGCGTGCATGTCTGCTTCCTCCCGGCTTCACCAGCTGTTGTGAACCTTTCTCACCATCACCCAGAACTTTACTCGTCGCTTTCTCTATGGCGGCTGGAGTTTCTAGATTCCAAGCAGAAAATTGAGGGCGAGCTGGCCTACGTCTTTAGGTATGCTCTTTGGTGCCACTTTTGCCGTTAACTCAAGATTAGCTCTTTGTGACTCGCGTATACATGCACTGAAGCTACCATCAGTTTCTACTAGATGCGATTGGTGCGATGGTGCTTTACGGGTTCCCTTCGTTTGCGAGCAGGACCTTATGCAAGGCAAGCTGCTCTTTAGCGTTTGTCGCGGAAACATCCCTTATTCATCTCCTTCCATCTCATCAATGCCTCGTCGGATATATGTGATAATACAAAAAATCCTACTTATCTTTCGCAGCTCTGTCGCCGAATACGATTAGAGGTGGCTGCTGAATGGTCACTATTCAAGGAGAAGTGGTCGATTATTGCATCTGGTATCCTTTTTCAGGCACGTCTCTCGTGCTCCTAAATTATCCTGGTTAAAAAAAATGAGGGCACCATTGACCATGTGTTTCTGCTCAACTGCAGTTTGTTCACGGTTTCTTAACTCGAACAGCTCACTTTCTCCACACTCCTCGTCCTTCGTTACATGATGTCGGGTTCGAACTTGTCCCTGTGAGCTTCTTCGTTAACCTCTGCCTTTCACATGAGCCGCTGTTGTATCTCGATCTGTCATGGCGTTACTCGAATTTGCTTGGTGTTGAAGTACTCACATGCTTTTTTGACAGGAAGTCGGTCCTGAGTATTTCTTCATCAGTGAATACCTCTTCTTCGCCATTTTCATTCCTTGCTGCGTTGTAAGCATTTGGAGTGGACTGCACTGACTCAGTCCGATTGCTTTCTCTAATGCTAAATGTTCTTGTATCCTGGCTTTCCCGTGATAGATGTGTTGCTTTAGTATCATCTGACACTTTCTTTTGTGTGTCTCAGTGGACATTCCATCCCTTCGTGTGCACCAAGAAGCAATTTTACACTGTGCTTGTGTGGTGCAAAATTCTGACGGTATTTGTGGTAAGAAGCTAGCTTAAGTTCTCCTTATTTTGGCTTGTGTGTCGGATAGTGACTGGTGATGGTTAATGTGGATAGAACGGGTGCCTTGACAGATGTGTCAGACTTTTCGGGTACTGTCTTTTACGGCAACACAACTACCTGGTCCTGCACATCATTGTAGACAGGTATGCTAGCATCGACTTCCATTTTCCCTCTCCTTCAGAGCTCGGTTTCTGTGTAACTCTTGTGGTCTTTATGAACGTGCAGGGATCTCCCACGGCTATCCTCAAATACACTGGAATCCATGACGTGCTGTACCTTAATGGTGGGCGAAGCATTGTTATAGGCATGCCTTGAGCAGAGCGGATTTCCAAACATCATTTTTCTCTCCTTTCTTGTTATCAATTTGTAACCAGTATCATATTGCTGCACCTGTGGTTGCCGCAGCCATGCATGGGTGTGGTGACCTCATCTTTTCCTCCCACATGACATTCATCCTCACTGTTGTCATCACCTACTCCAAATATGGAACCAATCTGTGAGCTCGTACTTCACCTGAATGCCTTGTTTTTTTGTGCTGGATGAATTCGTGTGTCTGATGACATCTTGTGAGCCTGCGTCTCGCTTGCCTTTGACTTCATTGCTGCCTTTTCAGCCTCTTCAAGCATCTGTCATGGTTATTGTCTGGAGTTATGTCGGTATTGATAATCGCATCACGCAAGCACTACACAGTGGACGTTGTCATTGCATGGTAAGAATTGAAAGATTCTGGGACAGCATGTTCGTTTGTTATTTTCGTCCGAGCTGACAGTTCTTTCATGTGTCCATTTTCAGGTACGTTGTACCTCTGGTCTACTACTTTGTTGAGCACAAGCTGGAGGACAACGGTATGAGCACAGTTCCTTGGATTGTTAATGTTCAGTACATAATGGCCCAATGGCCACTAATCTGTGTTTTAATGGATCACCCTGGACTCTTTGCAGTTGGCCCAAGAGACCTGCTTGAGCATAGCCCTTGTGACAAGATCCTACCACTCCACTCCTCGCCCTTCCACTTGTCATCGCAACTGGAAACCTCTTTTGAAGCTCAGGCATCCAATAACCATGCTTATACACTTGATCAAAACCTTTTGATCCGATCATTTCATGGCCTAAAGTACGTTTGGAGAAGATTGCAAGCCCCTTTTGTCAGAGTATGCCCTGACTCGCCGGATGAGGTAAGCCACCTCCAAACCCCCAAGCTCCGTCGTTCTTTTGATGTTGGCCCTTTGTTGCCGGTTGTTCCTAAAAAAAAAATCTCTGTGTCTTGCGTGCAGGAATATGGTAGTTTAAGAGCCAGCTTGTCTGGGGTTGATGTGAGATGAGAGCCCGAGGCTTTAAGAAAACCTGAACTGATCACTAACCAGTCAGGTTGTGCTCAAACTTCAATAGGGGGCTGGATATAAATGTGAGTATGGATAGCTAGGGTAAGGTGTGTGGGTTACAGTACTTCCAAACTGTACCTGGTGGTAGCACTTGTACGGTACCAGTTTTGAGTCAAAGAGCAAGGGTAGAGATGCTTTCGGACTACGGACAAAGGCCAAAGAGGCTGTCAAATGTACAATTTGCTCTGTCACACGGCCAGGAAAGTGGCCAGGAGGGACGTACGGTACCGGTATGTTAGAAGCAATGGGCTGAGAGGAGTTCAACAAGGGTAACCGGTGGGTTGGCGCGAGTGTTGAGAAAACCATGAGGGATCAGGAAAGGGAGTAGAGGAGGAGGTGGGTGTCAAGAACGGAATGGTGATGTTCTCTAAGATTTGTTGAGGTACATAAACCTAACCCTAACTGTTGTATCCCATATGACACACATCACTAAGACTATAACATCTGACAGTGGGCTATGAAAGTATCTTCTTATATCCTGTATTATACACATGTAATGTGATTATATATGCAATGCAGGTTTTGGTTCCTGAAACAAATGGCAATCTCAATAGCAAGTGAAGCAATTGTGCACATCTGTACAATGCTATTCCGAAATACCATTTGTTGTACTGGTTTTCCTTGTGTGAAGTACTGCTATTGCAATCAATTTTTCTTGATAAGTTTGCAGGAACTAGTCAGCAAAAAGATAACCCTAACGCAGTATACGCTGTTCGCCGTATGTACCGTATTGAAGTTGCTGAACTTGAACCCCGCTGCGAAATTGAGGGAAGAAATATTGCCCAACCTATTTCGCCCAACCTTGGATCTCTCGCCAGCTTCTCTTCCCCCCACCTCAAGTTCTCCATTTTTTCTTCCAGCAATGTGTTGTCAGTCACAATTCTCCAAGCACAAGTTTCCCGCCCACCAGAAAGGCTGTTTTTCCACCGCCTTTTTCAACCCAATCAGAAAGTAGAGCTGGCGCGCCTCCATGTAGCTGATTGGTGATGAGAAGTGGGGTACACGTCATGCATTTCATAAACACGTCACTTCATGTGACCAGCTTCGGAGTTGCTTTCTTCACGTGGGTCTGCGAGGTACTGACCGTTCGAAAAAGCACACGTAGGCAAATTGGAAACACCCAAGGAGGATACTTTCTCCATAGATTTTCGATTCTGAATGACGTGGTCCAAGCCGAATCGTTCCTTCTTTTCTTTTCTTTCCTTGCTGGCATTCTTTGGGACCACCGTAGAAGCCAGTAAGGCAGTTTTTTACCGTTGAAGCTCAGGTCGAATCTACCACGGCGCGAATGTTTGGCCAAACATGACGTCAGCGATTCAAGCCCCACGGAATTCGACTGCATGGCATTTTGCCTCGGAGCATTCCCATTTCGCAGAGGGCTCTCCGATCATTCCATCTTGCCTTTCTCGACACATTTCTTA